TTTGGAAGTTTGTTTTAACTTTGATTTTCAGATTTTTTTTTATCATAGTATATTTCTTATTGATTTTGAAATCGCTATAAGAACGTAGACCTAGAGAATTCAAGATTTTGGCCAACAGAACGTCAAGACGTTCATTCGAAACGCATGAAATTTTCCTCAATAGCCTTCGAAACGCATGAAATTTTCCAGTATCTTCGTAGTAGGTTTGATCAGTTCCTAGGAAAAATATCTCCCTTAAAAAAAAGAAGAAGAAAATCCTCGCGTGCAAGGAGATGCACGGCATGGACGGACGCGTGATCGCCGTCGACAGGGTTAGCACCGGGTGATTACGTACGCCTCCGTGCAGATCTGCGCGCGCGCCGTGCGTGCGTGCGTGCGGTGCGGGGGCGGCAGGGAGGGGTCGCCGTCCGGCGCCGGCCTTGTCCCCTGTCGGATCCTGCCCCGGCAACGCAACCACCACCACCGCGCACGCACGCACGCACGCGCGATGCCAACGTCGTCTGCCTCCCTCGATCGTTTGTGGAGCAAAAATTAACGGGCAGGCCGAGCTCGCCTGCATGTAGCTCGATCATCTGCGGAAAGCCCAACCAACCAACCAACCATGCGTTGTACGTCCATCGACGTGGTTGCCGGGCCTCCTATAGAAACCCGGAAGAAAAAGGTCGACTATGAGCCGGGGTTTTGATTCGCGCGCGTTCCTCGATTGCAAAATTGGTTTGTGCAAGACAAGTCAGGTGTTCCCCCTGGCACACCGCACAGTTCAGCTGTGACATCTTGCACATTGTAAGATCAATTGCTTGCTTTGATGCGTGAGTTTCAACATTCCTTTAGTGATTAGTAGTATCTTGCAACTATTTAGAAGCTCCCTCTCTCAGTTGTTCGGAGAGCAATTTTAGTTGGCGCGGTGTCTATATGGCGCTTACGTGACAAGGACGAGGGAGGACAAATTGACACGGTTTTAACCATCAGGAAATAAAATGATTTATTAGGGAATAAAAATTAGTTTATAGGTTAAACTTTTGTATATACTAGAAAAAATACCTGTGCGTTGCAACGGGTAATTCTATTTTAAATTTATTGTTGTTATACGGTTTAACTAGGGTAAAATTCACTGTGAGAATTCGCTTATAAATTTTTTTTAGAAAATCATAAGCTGCAATTAGGAGTCCATATTTTATCTCAAGTTAGCATACGGATTTCTTTAAATAGATTTCTTATACGACTCCTTTTTATTTTCAAAAACAAATGAGCTTAAAATCCAACTCAAACACGAATCTGTATTTTTAAAGCGAACGAACTTAAAAACTTACTCAAACCCGTATGGCGTACCAGAATACCGGCAAAAAACATCTTCAATTTTTATAATAGTAGAGATGTTTGTAGCTATTTAAAAGTCAATACTAAAAGAAAACTAAGTTGAAAATATCTTTAAATCAACTTCAATATTAAGTTCTAAAATTTAAATTTTGGCTTTTGCTTATTAGTACAACCAATGAGGCTCGAAGTCTATGTCCGATTTACAGGTACGCGAACCAAATTCGGCCTATAAGGATATGAAACAGACCTTTTCCTAAAAAAACACACGTGCTTTTGGCAGGCCTGATCAGTAGTACTGCTCCGATTCAGGCATTCAGGCCCATCTGCCAATGCCAAAAAACCACCGCGGCCGCGCCGCACTGCCGCCGCCGTTGGCGGTTGCCGTTGCCGCTAAGAGCAAGTTAAATAGTATAATCAACTACTAACTTTAAATCATCTATAGCCAGTGTAATAGTGAATTCATACAATAATTGTTTACTATACTATTAATACATGGTCCCATATATCATACACCCATTACGTTTTAAAGTCCGTGCTGTAGCTGGCTACATGCAGCGCTGTTCTTCTCTCTCTTCCTTAATCTCTTGTGTACCTGCTCTAACCGGAAGCACAAACCGGGGGGGTGCATGCATATTTACTCCTCCTCCCCATTGATGGCGGGGCGGCCGGCACGGCGGCCTGCGTGCGGTGTACCAGCAAGCTACTACTAGTCCTCCCGTAGTCCGGTGCCCACGCGAGGGGGAGGCCACGCGAGACGCAACGCAACGCAGCAACCACAACCACGGGCGGTCCCGGCGGATTTGACAGTGCAAACTGCTGCAAAGTATGGTGGTCTCCTCCCAATCTTGTAGGTGGTCGGGCCCTGCACCTGCTGCTGCTGGGCTCGGTTGAAGTGGCGCAGCAACTGGAACCCGTGTTTGCCTCGAAAGGTTGGTCAGCCTGTTCAATGTTCGGGGGGTAGTAGTTGGCAGGTTTCGCAGTTAACGGTAACCATATTTTTTTTAACTTTTTTTTGGGACTGAAATGGTAACCATTCCGGTTTCTAATCGGCGAAATTAAAAAAAAAACATTCGAAAATTTGTTAGGTTCCTTACTGTGACATCTGCCCATCTGAGTTCGGGTCTTCGACTCGGCGTTTGTAGGAACGAGTGTGAGCATTTGTATACGAGTGTCTACGTTTGTTTGTGTTGTATAAAAAAACAAATTGAGATATATCTTTTTAGCTTTTTTTTAAGATTTTATTGGTTTTCTTTGTTTTTCGAGTTGCTATTGCGATCAGTGATGAAACCGCTTTGGAACATGTATTTAATTGATGAATGGTTTGACTAATATTTGTAGTTATTAGAGGTGTATGGATGGCGTGACTGTATCCTCGTAGGTGAGTCATGCCCTTTTTATCCTGCGTTTTTTACTCCGATCATAGCCTTAGAGGTGTATGGATGGCGTGACTGTATCCTCTTAGATGAGTCATGCCGTTTTTACCATGCGTTTTTTACTCTTCTACATTTAGGGGTATTTAACAATATTTTCGTAAGGTAAAATTTGCTTCTATCGTGAGATAAGGAGACTATTAATTACGAATAATTTTTAATAAAAAAACACTTCTACTTTACCCGTCTCGTCGTGTATTTTGTAGTTATTTTTTTCAAACTGTTAATAATAACATAGTACTAGTAAATATAAAGCTTTTAGTCATAAAGTATTTTTATTTGCTTAGCTCATTGTAGCTTCAACCGATCACATCTTTCTCACCCACACATGATACATAGGATCACGTGAGCCACGAAGTAGCAGTATTAAAAACCTCATCTCAAGATCCTGTGCATTTATCCCTTTAGAGCAAGTTTCAATAGTATAGCCATCTGCTGGCTCCAAATCATCTATAGTCAATCTAATAGCCCATTTATACAATAGTTACCTATAAAAATATACTACATCATTAATACCCGGTCCTACCTCTCATACACTCATAACGTATTGGAGTCCGTGTTGCAGCCGACTATAAATCTGTAGCCCGCTTTCTTCTCTCTTCTCTTTTCTTCTCGATGTGTGGTTATAGCTGGTTTATAGCCTGCTATTATACATGCTCTTAGCCAACCATATGATCTCACCGGTCCATTACACAACCCTACTATTACTGTACAATCCTACACGATCCATGCTGTCCTTCCTTCACTTCACTTCACCTACATGCACGGTTGCCCCTGGGCCCCACCCCCCTAACCATTGCTCTGCTTGTGGGCCCCACACATCAGCCTCACATTGCAAGGGTACACTAGCCGAAGCCAAGGAAGGAGCAATAAACATTTAATAGGGGTTGTTCAAATTGATCTTGTTTCAAACTATACAATTTTTAAATAAAGTAGTCAAAGATATGCATCCATTTAGTTTTTTATTAAACTTTGATAAATACATAAGAAATCCTGTCAAAACATGGTAATATTGTCAAATTTTCAAAATTTTGGCATTACTCAAAATTTGATAAGGTTTATTTTAGTTACAATCTAAACAGCCCCCTTAGAGCATCCCTAGCAGATGTTCCATCCAATCCTCCATCTGAGAAATAGCGGATGGGGGTGAAAAATCGGCCACCAGCGGATGCGCTAAAACAGGAGAGAGGAATGCCAATTTTTGCGTTCTTCTCTCCTCACGCCAAATCGCAACCGCCTCTCAGGGTCGAGCTCCCGCCCCCATCCGGAATTCATAGAGGTGGCAGGCAAAGCAGGCAGAGGAAGAGAGATATGGAGGATGAGGCGCGGCAACTGGATCGAAGGAAGAAGGAAGAAGGGAGGTAGAGAGGTGGCACCAACCGGATCTGGGCTAGGGAGGTTTATTGGAGAAGAAGCGCCGCCGCGGCTCCTCCGCCCGGCGACCGACCGCCCACGCCGCTCCCCGCCCGCGACCCCGCCGTCGGTGCCGCGGCTCCTCCGCTTGGTGACCGCCGCGCCGCCGGTCCTCCTCCGCCCGGTGACCGCCTACAACCCCACCGTTCCTCTGCCCGACGACCACCCATCACCCTCCCTTGTCCTCCCCGTCGAAGCAACGGTAGAATAGAAGAGAGGATGAGGGAAAGATATAAATGTAAATGTTTGGTAGTTGAAATATACATTAAAATATATATGGATGATGTAATATGGATGGTCTGTTGGAGTGAAGAAAAATACGGAGTGAGAATCTTTTTGGATGACCATCTAGGCCCCTTTGATTCAAAGGAAATTCATAGAAAATTTAGAGGATCTCATTCCTATAGGAATTTTTTCTATATAGCTCTTTGAATTAAAGGAATAGATCTTATGGAATCCTATGAAATTCTTATAGAATACCTAGGACCATGCAAGTTATTCCATAGTACCATGCAAGTTTTGGAGGAATTCTAACATGAGGTAGAACCGCATGGAAACTTTCCTTCTAGTCTTTACCTCTTCTCTAATTCCTGCGTTTTTCATGTGGTCCAATCAAACGGTCATTCTTGTGTTTTCCCTGTGTTTTGCAATCCTTTGTTTTACACTTACATTTCTATCAAAATCTCATGTTTTTCTTATTCCTACGTTTTTTCAATCATACGATTTAAAGGGGCCCCTAAATGTGAAAATGGAGGATAAAATTTAGATGAGCTCCGGGATGCTCTTAGCTAGTACTAGTACTAAAATTTAGTAGTACTAGTACCAGACTACCACCAATGGTGTCACTTGTGTGAATGAATGGCCCTCTGCCACAGGCAAACCTTTGCCTGCTGGCTGCTGCCGCCCCTCTCATTTCTCATTTGCTCTTTGCTCCCCCCACCAACATTTTTGTAGCAGAAAAGGAGCCAATTTTTTTTCACTCCTAGTAGTCCTACTCCTATCCCCTTCCTTCCCCCAACCCCTTCACACTTCCATCACCATTTCTTCCTTCTTCCCCTAGCTAGCTGCTGGCTGCTGCTGCTTCTCTGGGCCCTCGTGCTGCTCTTCTCATGTCACCACCGCCGGCCGCTAGTGCCTTTCTGGGAGCCAACCAGGAGGCCCCGAATCAGATCTTGGCGTAGGTTTGCTCGACTCGCTGTTGTTGACGGTGAGGAGGGCGCTTGCCTCGTCTTTCTTTCTTCCAAAGAGCCTGCTCTTTTCTTGGGTTTGGCCTAGGAGGAGGGGTTTTTGGTGTTCTTGGTAGGGAGGAGGATTCTTGGCATTTGGCGAGAGAGGGGGGAAATCTTTTGTTTCCTTGTCTGATTCTGCTCGGTCGGTGAGTGGTGCGGCGGCGGCGGCGGCCATGGAGGCAATCACGATGTCGCCGTCCTCCGTCTCCTCACACCACCTCGACGTCGACGCTGCCTCCACCAGCGAGGACATGTCGTCGTTGCAGGAAGGCCTCCTCTTCTCGGACAGCCTCAAGGTATGGTGATGAATGCGATGTGTCACACCGTGTGTGTGTGTGTCTTGGCCTCCTCAAGCCGTCAAGATGCCGCAATCTTTGCTTCTTGCCTTCTTCTTCTCCCACCTCCTTTTGCCATGGATCTAGGTAGAAATCGGGCTGCGATTTGTTGATTTCTTGGCGAGGTTTAAGAAAAGTAAAAACCTGATGATGATGATGGGTCTTGTTCTGGGGGTCACACTCAGTTGTGTCTCGTGTGCCGTTTTGTCCATGTCAATCACAAGATTTTGTCCCTAGTTTGGTAGCAAAACATGATAGGCTCTCTCTACTTGTACACCTTTCCAAGCTTCACTGTAGTTGTAATGTTTGAAAGTTCTTACTATGCCTTCTACTTTTACTATGTGGTTATAAATTTCTGATCTTGTAGTGTACTACACTATTACTCTCTGTAATGTAGATAATCATCTGTTTCTTGCATAATTGGCTGTGCAACTCTGCACTGGCTGAATCTTTTTAATTGATTTCTCCCTAATTGAGCAAATGGAGCCTAGAAGACAGAAACCCAGTTCCAAGGGCTTTTACTAGAAAGCAGCAAAATTACTTGTAAATTCATGGTCTCCTTGTCCATTTTGAATTTTGGACGGCTTAATTTCCTTTAGCAAGTTGATCAGTCTATTGGTGTGAACCAATGGCGTGCACAGTTGCATTCCTTTGTCAAAATTTTCGGTGCTCAGGATAAAGAAGTTAGGATCCTTGTTCACAACGAAACCCCACATGCCTTCGCATGAGTTAATTAGTAATGTTTCTCCCATATGTAGCTGAGCTGGCATTTCTTATAGTACTGTATCTCCTGTGCTGGGCTTAAATTATATTTCTTTGTAGGACCTGAGGAATCTGCGTTCACAGCTATACTCAGCGGCGGAATATTTTGAAGTATTCTACAGAAACAATTCTCAGAAATCTACGTAAGATCTTTTGTTTTATTTGGATCTCTGTTTCTTTGTTTACCTTGCTGCATTAAATTAAGGGTAAAACAAATCTACACTGATCTGCTGCTGTAGGGTGATGACAAGTCTGAAAGATTACACAGTTGAGGCCCTTGTTAGCACTGTCGACCATCTGGGCTTTGTGTCATACAAGGTGGATAACCTTGTCAAGGAAAGATCCGATGAGGTTAATGAGACAGAATTTCGAGTATCCTCAGTTGAGCAGGTACAAAATTCATATGTGCACTGAGTTTAAAGGTCATTTTGTATGTGGTCCGTTAACTACCTTGTAATTTTCTTAACATGGAGTGAATATCACATACATTATTTATATTCTAGTACTTGAGTATGGCCTCATTTATTACAGAATGCTTGGTTTAATGTCTGCTAACCTTCGGAACATTGCTCAATATGATTACAGAGAGTACGGATTTGCCAACAGACAATCGACCAGGAGGGAAGATCTCAACAATCTCTTCTCATTAGAGCACCAAAATACCACAGGCGTTACATATTGCCAGGCAAATTCCTACTCAGTTTTGTTATGCTTTTTATATGATGCCTTCTTGTAAAATCACTTATCACCGTGGTTATGTTGTATAGGCACAGATATAGTGGAATCAGCCATTCATCCAGTTTCAGAACCTCCACGGTATAGCAGGCAACATATGAGCCGTAAAATGCACAAGTCACAATCTAGTAAGTTTACTGCATTTCTGAATTTTTAGAGAGAAAACTGTCATTGATTTTGAAACTGCTTTTCTTCCTGCAGTCTCTACGCCAGTTGGCAGGCAATCTACAATGAGGTAAACAGATAGCTCTCAGAACCCTGTTTTATATTTGCTCCTGAGTCAAATTGTTTATAAGCTTATCCACTGATTGTTCTGTATTTTTAAAGATATACTGTGGGATTTGATTTTAATACATCTTATGTCACAGGAGCGCGCGTTCACCATCTCCTTCAGCTCGTGGCACACATCATCGATCACGGTCCTTGTCACCTTCTCGAAAAGCACGAGCTAAATCCCCATCTCCCCAAATCATCAGCACACAAACAAAAGGCATGTTATCTTCACTAGATGGTTTACACTTGTTTCTGAATGAGAAAATGTCATATGTTCTTTGAATGTTAAGCTTTCAGAAAACATAAGTCTAAACTATTTTAATTCCTTCTGCTGTGCAGAAACAAGAGCAGGTTCACCAATACCGAATTCCAATCCCCTTGCACGATCTGCCACGGTTGCAAGAAGGCCACCTGTTCATCCAAAGCATTTTGTATGTTTACTATAGTACCAAATTATATATTTACATTAAGGAGATAACATTATCCTACTAGATCCTAAGAAAGCCTACATCATTTGTTTTCCTGGAGTTCAATCATATTCAGAAGAAATTTTTATTTATTGCTTCTGATGTAGTATTTCTTGCAGAGACAAACTTCAATGCAGTTACACTCTGACTGGAGCAATCACAAAGAGCAGGAGAAAAGCTCAAGCAAGGGCAGGGGGTTCCTCAAATCATTGCTCACAAGGCGTCGGTGGAGGAACGATGAGTCATTGTACAGCTACTTGGACGAATATTGATTTCTTAAATGTTACTGTTAACCAACTCTCACTTGTTCACTTATCTGATATTTGAGATTTTAGCTTTTTTGTCCAAATGGAGGCATTTTCGCCTTATCTTTCTATCATTTTCATGTGTGTATACAATGAGGGCCTATCATCAGTGTTGCTAATGGCATTGCGCAAGTGTATCCATCAGCAACTACTAAGCTGTTCAGATAAGCTTTCCCAATTCCATTTTCACTTTTCAGTACTCGTATGCTCTCCAAGTCTCCATTTCTCCTGATACCAAGGTACAATCACAAGCAGAATAATGACAATTTCACTAGAGATGAATCATAAACCATCTTATGCCCTCTCAGATGCTGTGAACTTGTCTCATATGGTGGTCCATTGATGTTTTTCTACCTTGTGACTGTTAGCAATCTTGTCATACATGGAGCTGGTTGGCAGTTTCTGTTGAGGGGATCCCTGAGGGCTGTGGTTGCAATAGCTAGGAGCTAGTGCTAGAAAATGGCAGATGACAAACATGGCCCTGGTTTTTTTTTGTCATAATCTGTTTGTAAATAATTGGATTATTATGCTTATCAACTAAAATTTGAATTGTAATCTTAAATTTGGAGTTGATTTTGGGATTTTATTCATCATAGTTTAGTTTCCAGTCTTTGCTTTTAGATCGTTAAGAACATGTATATAAAAACTTTATTCACATTATTTTTCATGTGCAAATATGTCGTTTCGTTTTTCCTCCAATTTACCAAACGATGGGGCTCTTAGCCTTTGAAAGAAGAGAATTGGAATTGTATATATGTATATATATCCTATTTGATCAGTGGGGCACATCATTATGCATTTGTCATGATTGAGCTCACATGTGATTGGACAAGGCTTACTGGTTAAGTGTTTAACATAAGCAAAGTCCAAGAGTAGCATTGCTATAATAATGCCAACATGGATACTTGCTAGGTTGCTGTGCAGTGCACATCCCGGGTGGAACCAACTTGCTTCTTCTTCCAACTCCAATAAAGTAATGAAACATGATACTTTTTGAGTCCACTAAACCTTTTCTCTTGAGTGATTAGACTTCACTCATGGCAATGTCTTGTTTTAAGGAACCATGTCGTTTGGCTGTCAGCAAACTCTCAGAAGCATGCCAATCCAAAGTTCCAAACCCTGATATAGTATTATGGTATATGATTATATCCTATGCTGCTATACAATTTTCAATGAACTTGGATATGTCCAAGGGCTAGAGAGAGGGCCAATCTTTTGCATATGATCTAGAACATAAATTATCATGTGAAAAGCACCAGTGGTGTGGTGTGAAATCACAGGTGCATGACTTCACCCACCAGAATTTAAATTCTAATGCCCACGAATATACTAGAATGTATCGTCGATTTCCATCTCTTGAAGTATATTGTATGTTAGTGTGAGGGGATGCATTTGCGTGAGTGTGAGTGTGGTGTTGCGTGTGTAGTGGTGTATACATATGCGTCCGCCGTATAATAAAAAAAATGTCAAATATCCTATGAATATCTAATTTTTATTTATCAAGCAAAATTATATTATATACGGTCAAAGCAACTAAAGAACAAGAAAAAAAATCAAGTTCCCAATCAATTCTAACTATCCTTTTTCTTTGATGGAATGAATAGATTTATTGGGCCAATACTAGGCCCTTAGCCCGATTCATATGCAAATATATCACATAGAAAATGGGGTCATCTAAAAGAAAAACACATATATGAGTGGGCCCCAGGTGCCATATAGCCCACTGACACCTGGCCCACACTCTGCCATGGCTGATAAAGGGCTTGTCTGAGTCTCGTTCAATTGGGCCTAGGCCTTCACTAGGGTTGCAATGTTGCATCTTAAGAATGGGCTTCCTTTTATTTTTCATTTCTTTTGCTGAGAGATAATTCGTGCAGCCGTACTGTCCTAGATGAATACGGACTAAACGACATCAGCTTGAAAAATACTAGGCGACAGTTTACATAAGAGAAATATCTACAAATTTAAAAATTATAACAAGAAAACTTTCAAACAAAGTAGTGGTTGGGGGTCAATCAGCTGCTTCCCTCGGTTTCTCCTACTCGTATACCATTTCTCTTTATTTAAATTTCTCCCATTTCTTTGTTATTTTTCATGGAGCACATAGATTGATGTGTACCTTTTGTTTTTATTTATTTCATTTGGAATCATCTGTTCGATGAAATGTTGTGACGACAAAAGAAATAAAGAAAGAAATAAGAAAATAATTATGTCATTCTCACAATTTTTTTGAAGACGTCTTTGACTCCCTCAGCTGTTGGAAAACAAAAAAGGGGACAAAATATTATTTCCGTTGTACTACTTCTTGTGAGTTGTGACAATCTGGCCAAGTATGCATACAAAGAATTTTTTAAAATGAGACAACCAAACAAATTAAATGATCTGTGCATACTGTCACGATAGGGATTCGAGGTGTATCGTGTATGTGCTGCTCTAGTCCTGTCTTCACACACGGTGCATATTCATCTTGTAGCGAAAATTTATAGGAAATTTTATAATACAAAAAGAGGCAAACAAGAACATTGTATCTAACTGCTAAGTTTAACTCTTCTTGACAACGACCATTTGTGCTTCAGTAGTTGAGTACGTAGACGAGGGAAGAACCAACACTATAAAACTAGAGATATTCTTTCTTTTCCTTAATCAAAGAAAATATGATGGATTAGTTAAGGTAGGGTTTGGTTTTAACAATTGCTTTTTAGTTCCTATTAAATTATGCACACTTTTTTCTAGCCAGTATGCAGTTTCTTTGTAATAAAAACAGTAGGTGATGGTCCGAGGTACTGTTTGATTTCATATAACAAAATAAGAACTCTCTCTTATGTATATAAATGCATTATGACATTTGTACTCTCTCCTTTTTCAAACATATAATTTATTATAAGAAAAATGTACAGTCAAATCTCAAAATCTTATATATCATATAGTATAATATATACCAAATATTAATATTTTTTTCCTGAGCGACACTTTCACATAGCTATATGTTAATTTAATGGTCATTTTTTAGCGAAAGGGCCTGTAGCCTAGTGGTTACAAGAGCCTCAATAACACCTGAGGTCTTGGGTTCGACTCCCCATGGGAGCGAATTTTATAGGATTTAACGGCGTTGTGCTTTCAATGGTAGGCGACGTACCTGTCGACAGCTTCGTCAATCTCTCTAGGATTTGCTGGCCTCTTCTTCGAAGATGCTCATAGGGTTAGGGGTGAGTGCGCGTGCGTTGTGAGTGTCTTCGTTTTAATGATTTGTATAAATATAGTATTTAGCAAAAATACTGGCCTCTTCTTCAAAGATGCTCATAGGGTTAGGGTTTATGTGCCTATGTTCATAGGGGTGAGTGCGCGTGCGTGGTGAGTGTCTGCATTTTAATGATTTGTATAAATATAGTATTTAGCAAAAATATGAATAAAACATTTGCATTGAAGATAGTGTCTAAAACGTCAAGTAGAAGTATTATAATAGCATCGACTAGCTAGGTACCACATCCCATATACGTACGTATCTTCAGAAATTATGCACGCTTACATAACCAAAATGTCAGACAGGGCCTTATGGACTATCCATGGCGCAGCCGCAGTTTGGTGTTTCGAACCAATGGATTAGCTTCACAAACATGATTACATAACACATGTTCATAGAATCGTAGACTAATTAACCTTGATGTCCCTCTCCCTTGAACATAGGTTATTTTAGATAAAACAAACCTTTGCTGTCCATCTCCCTGGAAGCAAACCACTTGCTAGTTGCTGATATTGCTTGACAAGAAGATGGTCGACACAAAATTCAGCACTTGCAACTCTCTGACCATCGACATGCATGGATCCATCATTCATGAGCTATACGCCAATCAATGATGGTTATCATCACCATTAAGTATACTTACTACGAGTTGGTAATGCTTTATTAGTCCTGTTGATTAGTAGTAGTAGACCTGTTAGTCAAAACAAATAAATAAAATAAAGAAGCAGTAGATGTCCATGTCCATAGTGCTCTGGCTTGTGGATGCGATTCTTTTGTCCGAGAGGTGCTGTAGTCGTTTCAAATTCCCATCGACCATTGGTTAGTGTTTTTCTGTGGGCAAGTTGGGCGTTGGTTGGGAAAGCGATGGAAGATGCTCATGATTCCACCCAAAAAAATGGAACAAATATCGGATATGCAACAGCATATATCAGGTCACGTTTGGCACTGTAAATCCACTAGTGAATTCGAAAGGGAAATTGTGAAAAAAAAAGTGTTTCAGATTTATGCTTCGGAATCTTTGAGTATGCATTTTTTTTGTTCCCTCTCCGTTGGAACACATGAATATTACAATTTTTTCACAAGAACTAACTAAATTCATGTAAATCTAAAATTAATTATTATGAAAATCTATAATTGATATTATGTTGGTATGCTAAATATGAGATACCTCAAGCGCGTATAAATACGTTGGCAGATAAATAGTATACATAACTGTATATAAAAACTATACTTATTAGTTTTAAACCTCTAGACTAAATTATAGCAACATTACCGAATTGAGACATTAACATACAGATAGATACATATCAATTTTGAAATTTGAAGTTATTAAACATAAGAAAATAGAAAGTAATATAAGAAATACGGAGTATTAGATTGGATTGTAATTATTGATATTATTTTTGAAGTATGAATGGAACAAAATTGTTTTATCTTTAGAACTTTAAAACAATTTCACTTGCACATTTCAACAAAAATTGAATTGAAAAACCAACAAAATTAACATATGGTTAAAATTGTAATATTATGCTACCTCCGTCTCAAAATAGAAAGAAAATTCCTTATAGTTTAAAATAGAGGTAGTATTACCTAGCGATGAAACGATCAGAAATAGTCAAAATCAGTAGCATCTCTTCAAAAATGATGATTGGTTGGTCAGTAATTAATCATATTTATCAATTTAACTACTTAATGTTGGCATCAATATGATGCTGTAAGAAACTAAAAAAAGTAATCAAATTTTACATTTTGAAAAAACCGATATGACTTACACAGAAATAATACCTCGGCCATCAGGAATTTCCGTGACTATTTTCATTGCTAGTAATACCATTAACAATAGATTGTGCAATACTTGTTGACGACCAATTGATCCCTAATTTCTAAAATAGAGTGGAAAAATAGATGAATAGAAAAAAACACAAGATTTTGACAGAAATACAAGTGTATAACAGAAAATTACAAAATACAAAAAAAACACAATAATTTGAGACATGAGATTCCACCTTATGTTAATTTTTCATAGGTCATGAGGTTCATTACTTTAATTTAAAGGGCTATAGGGAAAAAATCCTATATGAATGGAATCCTCTAAAATTTCTATAATTTTTCTTTGAAACAAAGGGATCTAATTGAGTATCTACAGAGCATATACACACCGCCTTCCGCAAATCGTATCCAAAGCCATTCGGATTCAGCATAAGCTGAAGCCTCTCCTGGCTCTTGTTGAAGCTCCGCCACTAGACAACCAGTAAGCTCCGCCACTTTAAATTCCGCTCCCTATCGAAGGTAAGGAAGGAGATGAGATGAGAACGTACCATATAATTTC